TATCTTTAATATTTTATTTTTATGTGTGTATGAGTGCACTGCCTGCATGTATGTGAGCGCACCCATGTCATGCAATTCCGTGGAGGTCAGAAGGGGGGCTTCGGATTCCCCTGGAACTGGAGTTAAGGACGGTTCGTAGCCACCATATGGTCCTCTGCAAGAGCAGTCAGTCAGTGCTCTTAACCGCTGAGCTATCTCTCCGGCCCCTACTTATATCTTTTTAAAAGATAATTTTTCTCATCTCTCTTTCTTCATTTAGTTTTCACAGAAATTGTATTAACAACATCTAACAATACCTACTAAATTATTTACTAGTAATTCAATGGACTTGCCATGTATTCGTCTCCATTAGTGATCAACTAAAAGTACAGTTCATTTCAAATATTCAGAACTGGCTGTTTAGACTTAGCAGGAAGCACTTGTACTTTACACCGAAGTTCATTCTTAGTGCTACTCAATTAAAAAAAAGCAAATCAATCTTTTGATCTCATTCGTGAACTTTGCCTGAGGCATTAATTATTCATGTGTAACTGATATTAATGATGCCTTGATAATGTACTATGGATTCATCAGGTCTCATGCAGCAACTATTGAAACAAATATACAGTGTTTTTAAAGTGATTATGGTCAGATTTCCTAAGAAGTTAGATAAATGGGTCATTTATTCAACCTGCACTGCTGGTTGGGAGGAAGGAGATAACTCTAACAACCAGACAGTAAAGAACAAGATGCCAAAATGCTTAGCAGAACATCAGTCTATTCCTATGACTGGACTATTTCTGTGTAGTGACTTATGCTAACATCTGGAATGACTCATCTTCATGTGATCAAGAAACACAGGCTGCTGGGCATGCTGGTGCACACTTTTAATACCAGCATCTGGGTGGCAAAGGCAGGCAGATCTGAGTTCATTGGCTGTTCTTGCAGAAGACCCGAGTTTGAACTGCAGCACCCACATGGCAGCTAACAACTGTCTTTAACTCCAGTTAAATGCCCTCTTCTGTCCTCTGTGGGCCCTACATGACACAGGTGCACTTATATACTTGCAGGCATAACACTCATATACTTAAAATAAAACTACTACAGGGAGACCCTGTCTCAAAAAGACAAAAAACAAACAATACAAAACAAAAACATAAAACTAAATCAAAAAAAAATTTTGTAAAACCTAGCTGGGCATAGTGGAACATGCCTTTAATACCAACAATTGGGAGACAGAGGTAGGTGTGAGCTCAAGGCTAGCCTAGTCTACATGGCAAGTTCCAGAGCTATAAAAGTGACACCCAGTC